TTGTTACCTAGATGCATCCGCTGCATTTGATCCACTTAATATGTCAATTCATCTTCTTTACACAAGTTGTATGGTTGTTGCTCTTCCTTTAGGAATATTTTTAACATCAAATGAGGCCGAGGTAACGATCGAAAATGCCCTTAATTTACTTAAAACAATCCTACCTGCTGATGCCTTTTATGGGCGTGGTTCCCAAATTGGCCCTAAAGTAATTATTACAGATGATTCATATGCTGAGCGTAACGCTCTAGAAATTTGTTGGCCCAATTGTACTTGTTTGCTATACATCTTTCATGTATTACAGGCTTTTTGGTGCTGGTTATATGATTTGAAATATAAAATTTACAAGGACGACCACATTACAATTAGGCCGTTTGAAGTTAATTCTTCGGTTAACATCACCTTCTAGAATTTTTTGAAGGGGGGGAAGATGAAACAAACAAATAAAATGAACAACCTATTTTTAGAGTTGTAAATTTATTATAACAAATTAACTTTTAGTTAAAATTTGGTCTATGGGTTTTAGCTGAATTGCTCAAAGTTAATTATCTAGTTAATATTAATATTTTTGATCTTTAGCGAGAAGAAAATACAAATTTTATTATGCAGAATATATAGGTTAATTTATAATATATTAATAGTTATTTCATTTTTAAAAGAATAATTAAATAATAAAATCAAAATTTTAATTTTAATTTATTTTGCCAATTATCGATTGCCACTTTATTTGCCATTTTTTTTAATAAAATATAAAATCTTAGATATATAAATACTTAAAATTCTATCATAATTATATAAATTTCAAGCATATAAATAAAACATAAAATATTTAACTATAGTTAAAAATATATTTTGCATATAAAATTTAAGCATAAAATTTTTTTTAAAAAAAATAGACCGTTAAGCTTATATTCTATCAAATATTATAATTTTAATGATTTTTTTTTTTTAAACGATTTAGGAGATCGAGTTTCCCAGCTTTTTCCTTCAATTTGACACAATGCACAAAGTGGATAAATTGATTTCCAATTTTCTTGCATTTCAGAAGGAATTTCGAGTAATTCATCTTCTGAACCACACCAAAAACATAAATCTACATCTTTAAGTCTACAAGAATAGTAATTATGCTCAATTGGTGAATTGCAAGTTAAATTAAGACATATATAAAGAGTATTAGCAAAAGATCCACAACTATATATTATAATATCAAAATGTTGAATAATAGCTTCTATTTCAATATCATTTAATATAGTTTTAGAATATATACAACAATACTTTCCACAAAAGTCACAAGCAACTAACAATCGAATAAAATTATTTACAAAAATTCCAGCAGAAATTTCTTCAGATTTTAATTTTTTGCTTGAAGGTTTAAATTGCTCTGTTGTTTCTTGTTGATATATCTCATCAAATTCTTTATAATGCTGGTTATCTAATAAAATAATATAATTAGTTATTAATATTTAATTAATTATATAGTATTAAATAGTAAAAAACATCTACTTTACTGAAACTTGCAACTTTGCAACTTTGATACTACTTATAATTAGCTACAAATTAGCTATAAAGTAACTATATAGTTTCTTTATAGTGGCCATAGTTATACATTTACTTCAAATTAGCAATATGTCTACTACTATTAGCTACTATGTTATTACTATATTACTACTATTTTATTATATTTTTACTATAATTCACTATTAATAACTATTATATTACTACTATTTTACTATATTTTTACTATAAAAATTTTTAAAAAAACATAGTAAAAGTATAGTAAAATAGTAATAATATAGTAGTAGCATAGTAGTCAACAGTAGTATGCATATTGCTAACTTGAAGTAAATGCATAACTACAGCTACTATAAAGCAACTATATAGCTACTTTATAGCTACTTTGTAGCTAATTATAAGTAATATCAAAGTTGCAAATTTGTAAGTTTTACTAAAATACTATTTATATATAAATATAAAAATAATTATAACTTAAAACTAAATAAGTTTAAAAAAATCTGTTTTATAAATTTGTTGCTTTTAATCAAAGCTACAATTTTGTTAAAACAGGTTTTACTTTTTTATATTATAATTTACCTGATGATATTTCTGGATCTGGAAGAAATGTTAATAATTCAAATTCATTATCTGGCATTCTAATTGGTTTGCAGAAACAACAATCTAAATTTCTACATTTTTTGATTTGAAATATATATGATCTAATTCGACAATGAGTATTAAGAAATTCTTGATATAATTGTTGTTTTTTAAGAGCATTATTAGTAGTTATAAATTTTTTAAAAGTAGGATCAATTGTTAAAATATTCTATAAGTTTTAATTAAAAAAATTAAGTTAAATATTAATAAAATAAAATT